TTGAATCTGCACGGATACGAGATTCGATGCGATAGCCCTGTAAGAGAGGATACGCGCTTGCTCGTTCGTTCGATTATCGGAAAATACTGATTAAATGATCTCGATAAGGTATCCAACGTTATTATTCGATGCCTCGTAATAGCCGTCGAAGAAAATTTCGTCGATGGATTTATCGTTAAATTCACATGGCTTGTGCCACCAATATTATTATCTCTCTTATGGATTATTCAAATGATTTTTCATAATTTTCAAGTTAACCTACCTTTTCGGTTCAGCCAAATTGCTGTCCGATAGTTTTCAAATATCGTGTTGGAATAATTGATCACCACTACTACTACTACTATCACCATCACCATCAAAACCATCAACATCATTATTACAACTACTAACAACAACAAAAGCAAGCAAGCAGCCTTCAAACTCGTTTAAAATTTGTACTATCTCTCATTAATCTTCGCGAATTCCGCGTTTACATGGTACTAACAAAATTTCATGCATTTCGTTACTATCGTTAATCATATTCCCCTTGTAAGTTATTCTAATTACTTGTCTCTCTCTATGTGGTTAGTAGATAAAAATATAAATAAATAAATAAATAAATAATAAAATGTATTGAGAGAGAAAAATATGTGCAACATCGATTGTGTGGAAATTAATAAAATTCAATTTCCTAGCTTACTTTCTTTATTGTTATTTTTCATACGTATGAAGCGACTGACTAAAGATTGACTCGTTCTACTTGCTCGAACGAGTATCTGCGAAAAGCCATCTCAATTTCCAACTGAAAAAAGCGTACTGATTGTTGAATACTCCTTTTCCTACGTTGTACGAGCTATAAATGACCACGAAAAGGTTGAAACGTAGTTCGATGGGTAACAATTGGACAAAGAGGGGAAAAAGAGAAAAAAAGAGGAAAAGAGAACGAGAAAGATAGATAGATAGAGAGAGAGAAAGGTGCCAATGAAATCGGTGTGTACATTCACCCTCTTGTTCTCTTTTTCCTTTTCTCTAATTCGAATCGAAACGAAATTCTCGTATTTTTCCAGACTTTTTCCGAAATAAAGAATTAAAGTAACAATGTCGAAGCTCTTTCATATTACTTGCTAATTAAAATATAAAAATGTTTTACGTTTTTTTTTTTTTTTTTTTTTTTTTTTTTTTCATGCGTACATTACAACGCGATGAAATTAGTTTTGTTCTTTTTTTTTTTTCTTTCTTTCTCTCTCCTCCAAAATTTCTGTTACTACTTGTCACAGAAAAAAATTGGGGTTTTTGCATTTTTGTCTCTAACAAATGAAAAATTAAAAATGAAAGAAAAAAATAAAAATAGAGAAAAGCAGCAACGTTACAATCAACCAACCAACATATACGTATTAACAATTTGACAGGACATATTGATACGTTAAAAATTCGTATGTTGCGGCTAGTGTTACGGTGAAATACATGTAGGAGGACTTTTTGAAAAACGATACGTCATCGTCGAGTTCCATTGAGAGTTTTCAAGGGAGGGCGGGGGCGGGTTCAGGGGGATTGTATGGGGGTTGAAGGGTTTACGTATGTGTGTGTGTGTGTGTGTGTATGTGGTGAGCGTTGAGAAGAGAAAAACTTAATCGCGAAGCCGTGCACAGCTGGCAGTGGTTTTCAGCTTGGTGGAATGAAAACGGGGTCACCGATCGTATTGTACTGTTCACAGCGAGAAAGCGGAGGACTCAAGCACTTCGCAACAATTCATGCACTTTTGACCTTTGCAAACTCGTTCTCTCTCTCATACACCCCCCTCCCCCAATCCCCTTCTCTTTCTCTCTCTCTCATTCTCTTTTTGGCCATGCAATACGAAAGGCGGCCTAGTTCTTTCTTTTTCGGATACACATACCAAAAGAGATTAATATAATTTTCAAGCGTTATCGAGATACGAATATCGCTGTATGAGGTTTTTATTGCTTTACGTATTCTTGGTTA